ATCCTTAATGCATTTAGCAACATTAGATAAAGGCATTAAAAGGATGTTTTTCAGCACATACATGATTTTTGAAAAGGAAGACTTTTGTTAATCCCACTCTTACACTCAACCATTTAAAACATGCTGAACTTGGACAACTGTTTAAGACTGTATTATTGCAAGAAACAGACTTCTTTTCATTCCCAAGGTTAGCAGCCTCTCACTATCATTAACACCAATTATAGATTTTGTTAAATGAGAAAAATACAAGTATGTAAATTCAAATAAACTATGTGGAAAACTATGCACAAAGTGCAAATCTGAAGCATCTCTGCAAAGAGCAGAACAGAAGACGTCATGGAGATCTTTCACTATTTAATAAACAAACTTGCACATTTGAATTTTTCAAAAATACATGTTCTTATACTATTGTGTGATGGTTTTAAATTAAATGTATTTACAATACATATCGAATAAATTTTATGATAAAAAAGGCAATGTTAGCTAAAAAGATGAACTATCAAAAAGAGGCTAGCTGGGATCCGTGGTGCATATCTATAATCCCAGCGGCTCAGGAAGCTGAGGCAGGAGGATTCTGAGTTAAAAGCCATCTTCAGCAATATAATGAGGCCAACTAAGCAACTCAGTGAGACCCTGTCTCTAAATAAAATACAAAATAGGGATGGGGAGGTGGATCAGTGGTTGAGTGCCTCCAAGTTCGATCCCTGGTACCCCCACCGCAATAAAAGCTCAACAGGCAATTCTAATATCACCATATCACATACAGAAAACTTCAATCTCAATTGAACTTTACAGCAATTGAACATTTATAAGCCCGGCAAGCCAGGTATTTTAGACCATTCTAATAGATGAGGAAAAAGCGGCTGAGAAGATTTAGAAGCTTTTTAGACAAATGCACTGATTTTTTTTTTTTAAGATGTTCTTCTCTTTCACCTTTAAATCATATGATTTACAGCTGAACACAGGCAATGCATGTTCATAATCCCAACTACTCCGGAGGGGGAAACAGGAAGATTACAAATTCAAGGACAGCCTTGGCAACTTAATGAGACCCTGTCTCAGAATTTGAAAATGTAGCTCAGATAGAGCACCCCGTGGTTCAATCCCCAATACACACACACACACACACACACACACACACACACAGTAAATATGATTTAGCTGTAAAACTTTAAAACCAAATGTATGTAATTACATAATAGTTATCCAAGAAAAACAAAAAGCACTGAGTTCAGGAAAAAAAAAAAACTACTGGTCAACATATAATGAATTAAATAAAAGGAAATTTATGTTTATTATTTTCTCCCCATGACTGAAATATTTAATGATTTCTCAAAGACAGTTTATCTTAAAATAGCAGCCAACCAAAATCTCAGTTTTTAGGTTTCAAGTCACTATATGAGAAGGTTGTTCACAATATAAATGTGTCCATTAAAAAAAAATCTAAAGTTTAAAGGACTTAGACAAAATATGCCAATCACAATGCGTGGACATACCATCTACGTTTAAGTCTAAGGGCTAGTTATACAGCTGTAACTAGTCAATTTAGCAAAGTTTCAGCTGTGGGCTATAAATAACAGCTGCAAAACTGACTCTAGTGGCCCAGAGTTCACCAGCTATTTAAAAGGCATAATTTTACAATCCAAGATAGGACAAGCGATAGGGAGTCATTACAGCAGTCAAGACAATATTTTTTTTTCCTAAAAGAACTGAGCCAAACGATAGAGAAAAAAGGCCTTACCAAATGCACAGTAAGTTGAAAGACACTGAATACCCACTGAAGGAAGTAAGTTCTGGAAAAGGTTAAAATGTATCTGAGATACATTAATTGAAAGCCAGGTATTTAGCTCTTTCAATATATAATTTATGGTTGACGAAATCACAATTCAATAGGAACCAAACTATTTAGCTTTCATGCTGAGGGCTGCTTCGGGAAAAAATACTTTTTAAAATGTGTGCATTTAAAATAATTAAATTCATACATTTTAACTGGAAGCTAACTTCAAAAATTATCCCCAAACTGAATCATTCCTTTTCATCTCCACATTAAACAATTACATCCTCTAAGATACAAGAACAAAGCATAAAACCAAACACACGTAAGAGACCTGAATATCGGGACTACTAACATTAAAACCATAACACTTGTAGTAAAGGCAACTGAAAGTTAAAAAACAAACTGGGGGGTGGGGTACAGGTTACTGAATCCAGGGATATTCTACCACTAAACTGCATCCCCAGAATTTCTTAGTTATTTTGAAACAGGGTCTTGCTAAATTGCCCCGCTGGCTTTCAACTTGCAATTTTCCTGCCTCAGCCTCTCAAATCATTGGGATTACAGCCATGTACCACTGAACTTGGCTTAAGAGTAAAAATTTTAATTCATATTACTTAAAATTTTAATTCATATTACTTAAAAGATCCCACTGAAAGATGTCTTGAGAAAATAAAGCAGTCACTATTTGAAAAGGACAACATAATAGACATTCTCTTGCAAAATAAAGATGACTGGTATTTTCTCTGAATTTACATATTTTCCTCCAAATCTTTAAGTGCACTGAGATTTGTCTGCCCACTATCAATCAACCAACAGCCATGCAGCTTACAGCTTCTCCTGACATCAGCACAGGTAATGCCCAGTTTCACCTTAATTAGGTGGATATTCCAAAGATAAAAAAGTTCTACATGCCACAGAAACATAAATCTCTCATACATGAACTCAACTGAAATAATGCAAAACTGAAATGTACTTATCCTATTTTTAAAATGATTCACACCATCAAAATCTTCAAATTGTTTATAATTTAAAATTCGTCAGCACTTATTCATAAGAAAGCCATTACATGTTCTAATAAAATATTAGTTTTGAAACTATGCTTTATAAACTTTATAATTACATCAGCTTGAGCTGTGTGAACATGAGAGACATGATATAAAACAGGAGCAATAACTACAAAATACAGATCTACCAGGGGAATGTCCACAGACTCCACACAACCAACCCCAGGAAGCAGTGTACTTCCATTTGAACACCAGTTTCTCAACATATCGAAAAGATCTTTTTTGGGCTGGGGATGTGGCTCAAGGTGCGGCCCAGGTTCAATCCTCAGCACCACATACAAACAAAGATGTTGTGTCCGCCGAAAACTAAAAAATAAATATTAAAAATTTAAAAAAAAAAAAAAAGATATTTTTTTTTCCTTCTTTTTTTTTTTTTTTGTGGTGTTAGGGATTGAACCCAGGGCCCTGTGCATGGGAGGCAAGCACTTTGCCAACAGAGCTATATCCCCAGCCCCCTGAAAAGATTCTTTTTGGCCATGAAAGAAATCCTCAAGAACAAAGTGATTCAGTTTTGAACTAAAGAGCATTTCAAACTAAAAATGACTTTTCTCTCAGAACAGGACAAAATTCAATAAGCATCTCACACCTGGTCAATATTAAAAAAAAAATGCATCCAAACTGTGTATGATGGTGCATGCCAATAACCCAAGATACTCCATAGGCTAGGCAAGGGGATCACAAACTGTAGGCCAGTTGGGGCAACTTGGTGAGACCCTGTTTCCAGTTTAAAAAAGGGGGTTGGGAAATATAGCTCAGTGGTCAAGTGCCTGGGCCCAGTTCAGGTGGGGAAAAAAGTATCCTATAAAATAGAAATACTTAAGTTTGCATTTAATCCAGTAATCACAGTTTAGAAAGTTCAATGATAATAAGCAAAATACTACATTTAGTTTTCTTTTTTTAAATATTTTTTTAGTTATAGGTGGGCACAATATCTTTATTTTATTATTTTATTTTTATGTGGTGCTGAGGATGGAACCCAATGCCTCACGCATGCTAGGCGAGCGCTCTACCACTGAGCCCTGCATTTAGTTTTCAACCTGAACACTCCCACATATTCATCTTAAATTCTGCATATGGCCAATGAATATTTTGCCAGTAACTTCTACTCCTATCTCCAAGTTAGAACATTAATGAAATCTGACATCCCATTCCATTGCCAATCCCAAGAACTAGGAATATGGTAAATGCTATACTTCATTTTTTGTTCCTTTTTTTTTTTTAATTGATTAAAAATAATAATAAATGACAGCAGAATGCATCACAAATCTTATTACATGTATACAGCACAATTTTTCATATCTCTGATTGTACATAAAGTATGTTGACACCAATTTGTGTCTTCATACATGTACTTTGGATGATGATGTCTATAACATTCAACCGCTATACTTCATTTTTGGACTACAGGAATTATAGGATCTAAGAATGATTCTGCATGAAATACACAGTCCTATTACAGAGTTCGAAATCTTTCCTTGCACCTTGACTCAACAGTAGCAAATGGCTATTCTAAATAAAGTTAAATGACCAACAAACCCTTTGAAAACTGGTTTCAAATTGTTTTGAAACTTCAACACACACACACATATATGGACTGAATGAACATTATCAAGGGAAAACACCACCTTGTAGGAATTTAAATCTATAATTACAAACAAAATCCTTTTATCAAAGCCACAAATTATTTCCTGAAGTGCTCTGCCAAAAGTTCAATACAAAATAAGTTTGAGGATCCAGTGTTTTAACTCTACACTTTTATATTGGCTTCATAGCCTTGAATAAGAGATTATTGTAGCAATGCAAGTTTTCTAAACCAAAATGTACCTCAGCAACTGAAGTGTTTTGCATCATCTTCAAATAACATAAAAATCCATTAGGCAAAGAAAGGTACACCTTTAAATTTACTTTGCAGTTTTGTTTCATGTATGTAAAAGTGTCTACTACAAATATATCCATTACTTGGCTTCTACAAAGTACTGAGATAGTCAAAGTTTCATCAAAGACATTACACTCTGGTTAATACATTTCAGCATACTTGATGCTAGCGCCAAAACAAGGAATTAACCAAAGTAAAGCAAAAATCTACAATATTACAAAGAAAACCCCAAGACAGAGATTAGAAGAATTTTAAAAAGAAAATAATCTGAAAGGCAGCTCACCTGCAGTTAGGTGGAGGGTCTAAAGTGATGTCTGCCAGTTCCTTCTGAATCCTGGAGTCAGGGAAATGAGAAAGAGAAACACAAGACGCATTAAGGCCTTGCAAGCCTCCCACCTGTAACTACAGGTCTAGCAGACAGACCTAGCCGCGATAATTGGATTCCACTGGGGAATGAGGAAAAGACACATCAAAAACTCAGGTCTGGGACTGGGAATGTCTGTAAGTGATAGAGCACCTGCACAGATGCGTGAGGCACCGGGTTCAATGAGGGGTGGGGGTGGGGGGGAGGGCAGATCTGTAATTCAGGAAAAAACTTTTTTCCCCCAGAAGCAGTGAAGCGGAAATCTGAGGTCTCCTGCCATCATCTACAATGTGTGGGTTCCAATTTCGCCTCCCACATTTGCCGTTTTCCATTTGGGAATCGTTTTAAAGATTCCCACTTACGAGCTGGGCTGGTGGCGCACGCAATGACTAAGAAGTCCGAGGCAGGAGGATGGCAAGTTCGAGGCCAACCGGGGCAACAAGGCGAGACTGAGGTCTCAAAATTTAAAAAGGGAAAAGAAAAAAATATGAGGCGGGCTGCACCCTTCGTGATCGAGTGCTCGCCTAGGAGGCACAAGGTCCAGCATTCAATTCCCCGCACCGCAAAAACAAACAGCCCCACTTGCGGAGCAGTTCCCTGATTCCTCCTTCCCCCGCTCCCCCGCTCCCCCTCTCCCCTAGGACAGAGATCAGAGCCTCCGTGGGTGGGAAGGTCGCGACCCTCTGGCCTCCCCGCCCCGGGAACGCGCCGGTCCAGCCCTAGCCTGGCCCGACGCCCTCACGTCCGGCCCGGCCCGCCAGGGCGCCCCCAGCAGGCCGAGGATCCCAGGACCCGCCCGGCACCGGCCCGAGTCCTCGGTGACGGAGCCAACATGGCGGCTCCCCGCGAGGCCCCTCGGGCCCTGACTGACCTGCCAGGCGTCGCGCACCCTCGGGGCTGGCCGCTCGGCAGCCGCCCCCGCGGCCGGTCCCTCCCACCCCTACTTGTACACAGACGGCTCGCGCTGCGCGGGTGAAGTTGCCAGACTGAGGAGATGGGGTGCCCGCGCGGGGGGACGCTCCGGGTGCTCAGCGCCGCCCGGAACCTCGGCCCCGACGCCACGCGTCGGCCCGCAGCACCCGCCCGGGCCGCACAGGTGCACCGGCGCCGGTCTCCGCACGCTCGCTCAGCCCACCTCTCCAGACCTGCCTTTTCCTGACGTCCTAACTTCTTGGAAGGCCTGCCCTTTCCTTCCCTGTGGACGCGGAACCCGGACCCCAATTTTCTGCCCAGGCACCAACCCTCGACTTCACAAAGAGTCCCATCCCCCACTCCTAGGCCGAAGCCACCAGGCAGTTCACACCAAGCCCTGGCCTTTTGTCTTCTGCTTACCTAGGCGCTCAGAGCATCCATGAATAGGACAAACTTGGGGCCTAAGAGCCTCTGCCACTTCTAAACGCCGCCTATTTTTTATAATCTTTTCTCCTATCATATAAAGCCCTCGGGGCTGTGTTACAACTTAAAAAAATCTCACCATGGCAGGATGGTAGTAAAAACAAGAACAAACATACACGCTAGGCAATTTGAATGACAATGATGCTTTTCTCTTTCCAAAGGTTTTCGGAGGGTAGGAAGAGGCCAGATATATGCATGAGGTTTTAAAAGGCGTTCTTCCACGTTAAAGTAAAAAAAAAAAAAAATTAAGGGCGACGACTGGGGAAGTTCTTTCAACTTTCCTATTGAAGGATATTTCCTGCCCCCTACAAATCTGGTCAGTTTAAGAAAGGGGTTTTTTCAGTCTCTTCTGTCATCTATTTACCAGTGTCCTGCTAAATTCCCCTGCTACCAATAAGCATTTCAATTCAAAGACAGTGGCATCCCTGTTGTTTAACTCACTGGATGTTAGATTTAAGAGTTCCAAATCCTGGCTTCCTGATTCCCTACTTGCAGCTTTTAAAATTGGCTGTAATTGTTTTTTTGTTTGTTTTTGCAGTACTGGGGATTGAACCCAAGGGGGCTTTACCGCTGAGCTATAACCCCCTTTTTAATTTTTATTTTAAGACAGGATCTCTCTAAATTGCCTGGAATTTACAATTCTGCCTCAACCTCCCTAGTTGCTGGGATTACAGGCATGCATCACCGCAGCCAGCTGAACTGACTGCATTTTTAAGACCTAGGTATGAAAAAATATCCTCTCCTTCGGGTCAAATAAGGTAATCGCTTCCTTAATACCTAAAAAGTGTATTACCAGACAGCTTTATGCACTTCATCTTGACAGCCAGCATTTGCACCATTTCCAGAGTGCTGGCCAAAGATTTGCAAGAGGAATACATGCATATGTCCCAGGGAGTGAATCTTGTTCAGAACACTCTCCATAGGGGCTTTCCTCTCTCCGACCCCCCCCCCACCCCATAGTTTAGAAACCACTTTCCAATGTGCAATGAGTAACCCCTTAAGTCTGCCAATTCAGTCTTGTTTTCACACCATCTCTTGGTAAATTTGTCTCTTCCAATTCTATGGCCAATAACTATCTTCCAAATCAATATATTTCACAAAGCACCATCTATAGGATCCCACTAACATCAATTTTCCTCTTTTACTCTTTCCTGGATATACTGTCCCTCTCCACCTTTTGCCTTTTGATATTAACCTTAGCTCTGCTTTAACACAAATAGTCACTCTTTCAGCAAGTTCTCCAGGCAACTAAATTCACTGTATAAAAACAAAACTGGTGTTAACTTATAGGTAAAATCACTATTTGAAGCTTCTCATCTCTCTCCCAGCCATTCCAAATAATTTTTTAACCTCTTTTGCCTAAATGAGCAAATTGAGTCTAGGGAAAAATCTTTGTGAATGCTAACAAAAAGCACACTATATTTTTTTTTTGGTACCTATGCCTTTACCCCCCAATATATTCATGTACACCAGGGATACCCAGCAAAATATAGAAAAAAAAAAAAATACTAATGACCTAAAGCAGATATCCTACATTGGGGCAGGTCAGGCCAAAAGCAGCCTGAGGATAGGGAGCTTAGAGGCTTGGGGGAGGGGTAATTGTTAAGAAAAGGACCCAGCCAGAGTGGATAGGGTAGATGCCAGATTCCAGGAGAACCCACTCAGAGCTAATCAAAAAAGGCCAGTTAGGACTCCTGGGAAGATGAGACATAATCAAATTAACATCTTGAAAATGACAACAATCTTCCAAGTCATCATGCCATTTCACCCAAGAACTTCACACTGTTTAAAATAAGCTAAAGTCACTACATTGGCCCACAACTAGGTCACCAAAACAGTTTACTAAATTTTCCAAAACTTCAAGTCAGGGGAAATGACAGAACTCAAAACTCTCAGGCTCACTACTCTTCTGAAAAATCCCTTTAAGAATGGAATCCTATCTAACCCAGCATTTGGATTCCTTACGGTCTTCACAGCTTGCCACTTTAAGGTTTAACAACTATTTAACTAAGAACAGAAGGATTTATGAAAGGGTTCCTAGAAATCTGCTATAGATTATTTTAAGGGTCATGGGGATCAGAGGATGTTACTTAAGGATGATGGTGGTAAAAAAGTAGCTAACACGAGAGAAGAGGAAAGGAATAAAAAAGCCAAACTACTTGAATTCATTTGAAAAAAAGGGAAGAGGGTGAAAATTTCAGTTTTACAGCATGAGAGCCAATGGCACCAGGAGGAAAAGTCTCCCTGAAATTTGGCAAGTAGAAATTCTTAGAAAAGAGTCACAAAAACAACGTGGAACAACCATTTTACAATCATTTACTGGTTGATTCATTTGCGTCAACTCCCCAAGTCAGAAAAATCTCTTAAAATTCCATCAGAAAACATCACCTACTAAATTTTTTGCCTGCTCATGTGAGCTACTTATTCCTTTTGCAATTTGTGGAGAGAGCACTATGCAAAAAAGATCATCCCTGCAACAGGTGATGAGGAAGTAAGACGGTCATAGAATTCATTTAGACACGACTTGTCTGAGAATGTGTTAGTAATTAAGAAGTGGGATGACAGCCTTGGAGAGGGTAACAGATCAGTGACCCGAAATCAAATTTGAGGGTCACTAACAAAAGTAACGCGGACTCTTACAAACTTCAGCAAGAAACTCAAGCAGCAAGCCACAACAGCTGCATGTGGACAATGATTAAAAGTAAAACAGAAGAGGCAACAGAGAAAATAATTAGGGCTTCCATGGCCCCATTTTCATTTTTGAGAACACATAAACTATGAGGAGCACTTAAGCTACCCTCACTGGGAGGCAGATCAAATGCAGTACGAGGCAGTTCCGAAGACAGGAAGCCTGTGGGGGGGGTGGGGAGGGGATACGGTACCTCTTGGCGCTGGTGGAAAGGAGCTTGGAGTTTTTGCTCATGCTGACTTTACTCTCCTTCTTCTTGGGGGTGTTTGTTTCTTTCTCGGTTTGCTGGTTGGAGGACGAAGATGAGGAGGAGCTGGTGCTGGCCCTCGAATCGTCATCCGACATAGCGAACCCCCCACCCCACCCCGCAAACGGCCCCTGCAGGGGGAGGGAAACAAAACAGAAACACACAAACCGTGCAGGCGGTGTAAATAAGGAACTCGGGTGCTGTCAGGAGGGCACAGACCCTGGCTGCACCCGGCCGCCCACCACCCGCTTTTCAAAGTCTCCAGGCCCATTAAAGCTTTTGCAAATCGTCGTGGCTTGTTTATTTTTGGCCCCAAGTGAAGGACACGGTGGGAAAACGGTCAGGAGCCCTGCAAGCAGCCCCTCCCTCGCCCCCCGGGGCTCCCCACCGGGCCGGGAGGGAAAGCCGAGGTGGTGGAGGAGGACAGGGGCGCGGGGTGCCTCGGTGGGGACAGGAGGGAAGGTCCCGGCGGCCGGCCGGCCTTGGGGCTGTTTTTGTCCGCTTTCCGGGGGTCGCGGGGGGCCGGTGGCCCGGGCGAGACTGCGGGGGCCACGAGCGGAGTTTGGCGAGGTCGGGAAGCGAGGAGGGGCGGGAAGGAGTAAGAGAGGAAGCCGAAACGGGGGGACGGAGGCGGGGAGCGGGTGCCCGGTGGGGGAAGGGAGAGGCCGCCGGGGGGCAGGGGCGACGAGGCCCGAGGCCCCGCGCCGCGCCCCGACGCCCCTCCCGCCGGCCTGCCCCAGGGCGGCCCAGCTTGGGACTGCGCGGTCGGGGCGGGGGTCCCGAGCACACGCCCGATCGCCCCCCGCGGAGGGGTGGGGGAAGCGGGGGGCTCGGCCTCCGCAGTAGCGGAATAACAATGAGCCCGTCGGCCCGGGAGGGGTTAATCCCCGCGGCCCCCGCCCCGGAGGAAAGCGGGGCTCCCCCAACTCCCCCTCCCCCGCTCCCGGCCCCCTCGGCGGCCAGTGGGGGGCTCCCGGGCAGCGCTGACAGTTCGAGCTACAATGCCCCCCCACCCGGCCCCGACGCGGGCGGCCCCCGCACCCCACGCGGCCGGGGGGTCCCTGCCCATCCCCCGCAGGCGGGCCCCGGACCCCTGGGGCTCCCCGGCCCCTCTCCACCACCATCCCGGCCCCGTGCCTGGCGGCCCGGGCGGCGCGGGTCCGGGAGGCGGCGAGGGGTGTCCCCGAGGCCCGGCGGCGCGGCCGGGGGGCGGCGGGCGGCGGGGGGGATCCCCGTACCTCTCTTTGTGTCTGGCTCCTCCGTGCCGCCGCCGCGGCTGCTGCTGCGGCTGCGGCTGGGCCTGGCCACTCGTGTCTCTCTCTCGCTGGGAGAGAAGCGGAAGTGCAGCAACAGCAACTATTAAACAGGCAATGGCTTCCCCCAGCCACACACGCTCGCACACACACCACTCCTCCTCCTCCTCCACCTCCTCCTCCTCCTCGCCCTCACCCCTCCCCCACCCGGCCCGGTCCCACCCACCCGCGCTCCCCTCCCCCTGCAACACCTCGGGGGTGGGGGTGGCGCGAGGAGGACACCGGGGACCCCGGAAAACCCTGTCGCCTTCCCCACCCACACCCCGACCCCAGCGCCTCCTCCGGACGCCCGGGAAGGGGGCGAGGGGTGTGAATTTTTTCTCAAGTGGTTTGGGGGACCTGGATTCTGGGCGCGACCGGGGAAGCGGGTGAGAGACGGGGGGCGATGGAATAGAGAGAGGAAGTTCTTTCCAATGAAGGCTTCTGGAAAGGGGTGGGGGGGCGGGAGTGGCAAATGAGTGAAAAAGATGGTCATCTGGTGGCAAGGACTTTGGACTAGAAAATGCAGCGGGAACTCCTCCTAAAAAAAAGTGATCAGTTTAAAGAGAGGGAAGGAAAAAAAAAGATCCCTCAACAGGGTTTCCTTTGGGCTGACACTTGCTTCTCCCTCTAGCAATTTACCTGCCTGGAGCAGAGGTCACGCCTGTGAGAAAATCCCAAGCTTGGAGTTTTCTGTTCAGGGCACGAGGCACGTGCAATTTTACAATATTAGAGTCTTCCATTCACTTTTTACAGAAAGTGGTGTGGTTTTATAAAAGTGATTGAGAGAATTTCGTGACAGGTAGAAACCAACGTGAGTCGGGGTTTGCAAATGTGAGAGTCACTGGGAATACACAATATTCCACTGAGTTAGACGGGGTTTAGGATTTTTAGTGTCCGTTGACATTAGATGTAAAGTTTGATTTTTTTAGAAATCAGATGGAAAGTTATACGGTTGTTTTTTTTTTTCTTTTTAACCTTTTGCCACAATAAAAACGCTATTCGAATAATATTTTTAGAATAATCACAACAATTCTGCTGAGTTGTTCCTTATTTAGCATTTTAACAAAATTGATTTTTAGAAATATTAAGTCATCAAATTACAACTTAGTTTCTTACCTATTTGTCATTTAAATTAAAGGGAACTGAAATAATGTGTGCCATCCAAATACAACAGTGCACACATACAAGGTCTTGACATTGAGGAGACAATCCCAAGTCAGATTTCCACAGCCCACTTAAAAATATTTCATTCAGGTTACCATCATTTTCTAGGTAACAATGGCTTCAGTCATCACTGAACAAAAGATACAAAGAACATGGCATATCAGTAACCAGAAAAACAGGCCTTCCCAATACCCAGCTAAGTCCCTTCTAATAATCAAACTGAAATCCCAACTTTATGAAGATTCAAAGTAGCTGGGCATGATGGTATATGATTGTAATCCCAGTGACTCAGGAGGTTGAAGCTGGAGGATAGCAAGTTCAAGGCCAGCCTAGTCAATTTTGTAAGACCCTGTCTCAAAATAGAAAGGGCTAGTAAAGCTCAGTGGTAAAGTGCCTCTGGATTCCATCTCTACTACTGGAGGAATGAAAAATGATTCATAAAGTAATGATATACACGTCTTGCTCAATGCTTATGAGGCAACCTTTATCTACCAGAAGTTGTCAATAAAGTCAAGAAATGTAAAACTGGAAGAATATAGATCATCATTTCAGTTTCCTGCCTCCAGACAGAGCTCTCCCTCCACTACCCAAAAGAATTCGGATTTTGAAAAGATCTCCAGACATACCCTTTCTTAGAGTTTGGTTTCAGGAGTCCTGGTAGAGCATATAAAAATTATGACATTCCTTTATGTATGATATTTGAAAACAACAAAAAATAATAATAATAATTCCTTAAAAAAAACTCTTATACTTTTGTACTTTTTGTACTTCTGATGAAAATGGTATATTTTACAATAAGTACATTTTTAAAAAACTCAGGATTAGGAAAATAATTAAAAGACAGTTATGAAAATTAGCATTTTCTCTTATTAAAGTTTGAATTTCTGATATTTAAAATATGCATTTATTTTATGAGTACCAATAGTGTGGGGGGGGATCATACATGTATAAAACAAGAGCTGGCAGAGATGACAGGAAAATAAATTATTTGATTTGTTAAAGTAACCAGGACAGCTAGGCACTCCTGAGGCTGAGGCAGGAGGATCACAAGTTCAAAGCCAGTCTCAGCAATTTAGCGAAACTGTGTCTCAAAACAAAATATAAAAAGGGCTGGGGATGTGACTCAGTGGTTAAGCACCCCTGGTTTCAATCCTCAGTACCAAAAAATAATAATAATTTAGACATAAAGTAACTAGGACACTGGGTGAATGTTTCTTTAATATTGGTTTTCATAAATTATATACTTGAATACTAAGTATAATAATAATTTTAATTTTTTTAGAAAATTGAACTTGATTTTTTATGTTTCATTGTTGATGATTGGTTCAGATTGGTCCCTGGGGAAATTAATCATGAACTCTAAGAGTTCATCCTGTGTAGGGAAGTGCTTTCCCAGGTATCTGTCTAGAAGCCTCCTAACCCTCTTCTGTCCTCCTCTAATCTCTAATACACACTAGTTTAAGTTAGTGCTTTATGGTTTTAGAATGACCTGCCGAGGGGGAATAAAGACCTCAAAATGTTTAGAGAATAACCCACTGCTTTCAAAAGACTAATCTGTACGTATTTTGAATGTACAGTTGCCTTAGGAAAAAGATTCATTTGAAGCCTTCTAGTTCTTCTACTTAATAACTACAAGGCCTAAGGAAGTAAATTGATATTCCTGAAGCCAGGTGTGGTAGTTTATGCCTGTGATTCCAGCCACTTGGTCCAGGCCAGCCTGAACAACTACTAAGACCCTGTCTCAAAAAATATAAAAGGGATGGGGATGTAGTTCGGGGTAGAGTGCTCCTGGGTTCAATCCTCGGGAGAAAGTGGAGAGACTAGGAGGAAGGAATTCTCAGGGAATAAGGATTTCATTGCTAGAAGGGCCCTAAGAATGGTTCACATTCATGTTATAAGTGAAGAAATTAAGACAAAGAAAGTTGGTACCAATATCTTATCCAAGGTCATGCAGTAAATTGGTGGCAAAAGAGCAATTCTGATCCATGCTGTTCACAGATGATCCTGTCAGTTCTGGCAATATTGGGGTGGAAGAAGAGCCTTGATTACAATTGGAGAAAACTATATTAAATATAAAAGAACACTGATAATATTTTCAAGACTGCATTAACAATTAAGACATAATTGGAAAAGTGGGCAGATGGGAGCAAGCTAAGGGAATCACTGAATTTGTAACATTTACTTGAATAAACTAATGACCACTGTGGAAGGCCCCTACCCCTCATCCTGAGAACAATCCTCCCTCTTTATTTATTTCATATTTACAGATACGTATTTTTCTTTCTTTTTTTTTCTTCTCTCTCTCTCTCCTCTCTCTTTTTTTTTTCTCTCTCTCTGCCTTTTGTACTAAGGATTGAACCCAGGCACGCTCTACTATTGAGCTACATTCCCAGCCCTTTTTGGTTTTTCAGTCAAGATCTCACTAAATTGCAGAGACTGGCCTCAAATTTGCTATCCTCCTGCCTCACTCCTGAGTTACTAGGATTACAGGCATGCACCACTGCCACTATGCCCTGCTTATGGATAAGTTTTAAGTAGGTAATACATTTTCATGCAGCATTTTTCTTTTCTTTTCTTTTTTTTCCTACCAGGAATTGAACCCAGGGACTCTTAACCACTGAGCCACATCCCCAGCCTTTTTTATTTTTTATTTTGAGATGGGTGGGGTCCCCCTAAATTGCTTAGATCCTCAATCAATTGCTGAGTCTGACTTTGAACTTGTGATCCTCTTGCTTCAGCCTCCCAAGTTGCCTGGATTACAGGCATGTGCCACTACACCAAATCCATGCAGTATTTTTCTAAAGAAACCAGAATGTGTGCTTCGAAAATATCCTGTTCCCCCAACACCACCACTCCCAGTTTCCCTCAGAGGAAGCAGTTTTCTGTTATAGTCTAAGCATGTGCAAGCAAATGCATGCGTACACATTGAATGCTTTGATAGGACTGATTCATTTACATTTTTAAAAATGCATCCAGTCAGGGTGGTGACAACAACTCTAATCCCAGGGACTCCAGAGGTTGAGGCAAGAGAATGCAGGTTCAAGGCCAGCCTCAACAATTTAGTGAGGCCCTAAGCATCTTAGTATAACAGGGTTAACTTGATGCTTTTACTATATCCCTTGTTGCTTTGAAACTTACATATTTTTTTCTGTTTTCCAATCTTCTCCTCCCTAATCTTCTTTTCTCTAACCTTTTCCTTCCTGATCTTCTCCTCCCCATCTTCTTTTCCTTAACCTTCCTGATCTTCTGTTTCCTGATCTTCTCCTTCCTGACCACTCTTCCCTAATCTCATTTTCCCTCAATCAATTAAAAGCCCCCTGTTCCTGCCTGTGGGCAGAATCTCAGCCTTCGGGACAGGAGTGGCCTGTGTTTCTCCTTTGCTAGGAAAGCAATAAGCCGCTTTGGGGACAAGGACTGAGCTGTTGGCAAGTTTAGGAAGACCCTCTCTGAAAAAAAGGCTGGGGTTATAGTTCAGTGTAAAGCTTTAGGCTCCTGGGTTCAATCCCTGGTACAAAAAAAAAAAAGCATTCAGTCACAGAAACCCAAACAGAGGTGCACTGTGACATCTCCTGGGCTTTGAGAAAGTGGGCTCCAGTTTTCACTAGTACCTGTTCCTGGTTCTCAAAATGATCCAACTCTCTTCTTCAAGTCATCTTTAGAATATCAAGTACTTTAAAGTAGAAGCACTTGAAGATCAAGGGGCTAGCTGATCCCTAGAAGGTGAAAAAAAAAAAAAAAACAGTTAATTCAAAAGAAAGAGACCCAGTCTTAACTTTTTTGAGCACTCCTATTTTGGCTTGTTGCTTATACTGAAATTCCTGTATTTCACAAAAATAACCCCTCTCATTTGGTCAAATTCATGCCCAAAGAATTGTTAAACAAATTAACATTTGTTTAACTTACCTATGGCTAAATTGAAAGCATTTACTTTC